TATGGTCCTTGCATGCAAAATACGAGACATATTGACGAACGACAGAAGCGGAATTTCACTTAAATACGGCAATGACGCGGAGCTTTAAAAACGCAGCACTCAAATTCAACATTCCTGTGCAAGTGCATGCCTCCAAGCTTACGACCTACCACCCGCCTCCCTAAGTCCCTACCCCTCGCACGAGTCGACGAACGTTAAAATTTAAATACTCGACGGATGACACGAGGGTGGTGATTCGCGAAACTGCAACATATTCTTAACTATGCGTATTGTTCGCTTGTCGCGACTCGCGGGATGGTGCGTTGGTGAAAATGGGTGGGGTGACAAGGTTGTAAGCGGAATCTTCTTTGGCAACTCCGTCAAGGCTGACTAAGTATAGAACGAATTTTTCAAACACTTTTTAGCTTTAATCCTCGATGGCATAGCGTTAAGAATTCGCAAGAACGCGTTTTCGGGGATTTTAAAAATTGAATCTTGCCTCTCTGGCACGATTTTGCAAAATTTCGTTAATTTTTACTTTCTTTGAAAAATTGATTCCCTTGAATTTAAAATTTTGAGAACATGTGTGGTCTATTTTTTTAATGCAAGCTACACAATAGATTAGAGTCCCATAGACTCTGAGATCCGAAATTAATTCATGCCATAGAGGGTTAATCACTAACAGCCGCGTTTCACTCTATAAGATCGCTCCGCTCTTCCTTTGTCTTCTTTGGCAACATTTAGAGCGGAACATTGCGAGTTCACGCCCCGCGCCATCGCGCCTTCAATTTTACAGATGCAACACGGACATCAAGCACGAATAGTTGTATCTCCGCGCCGTTATTCGCCATGCGCGTCCTTTCTCTAGCTCTACTTCCATATTTCATGGCTCCATTTGATGTATTCTTTGCGGTGCTTCAAGGGCCACGCGAGCAACACAGCCGAAGAGAGGAAAGACGTTGTTCGACTGACATTTTTATAATCATTCCATAATTTTGTCGAGTTCCTTTCTGTTTACTGGGAAGAGAGCTAAATTAATCGCAAAACTGAGCCAAGTGGTCAGCCAATGGACCACTAGACAAAGTACAAATTAAAGGATTCTGATACATTTTTCCTAACCAAATTTTCACGCAGAACACGATTCGCCCAAAGAAAATGACTGAAATCAACTCCTAACGAAGATATTAACGTTTTTATTTCACATTGGTTACGAGGAAGTTGAACTGCCTGCTGACAAGAAACTCAAAGCTCTACGTGAGTCAAATCGCGCACTACAACGGTTTCAACGATCTTCTCAATCGAGCAATGTTCATTTCCCACCATGTGTTGTTCAAACTGTAAGCAATTTGCTATAGCTGAGCCAAAGCGCTAAGATTGAGGTTGCCAGATTTTTATATCGCGGAGACTGTCATGATAAAAGTTTAGCGCGCGATGTGAATCACGTAGAGCATTGAGTTTCCATGAGCGGGTGGTTTGAATTCACGCATCAAGAATCATTAAGTATCTTCGTAAGGAGTTGATTTCGGTAATTTTCGTTGTACCCATCGTGTTTTACGTGAAATTTTGATTAAGAAACATGTATCAGAGCGCTGAGATTCGTACCTTGTGGTCCATTGCTTGAGATTGCATAAGAAAGACACTTTGCCCTCGGAAAAGAACCGCTATGCCTATCAATTTCAATAAACAGCTCGCTGCTTCTGGCGGTTGGAGTCGGCGAACTGCTGTCAATCGGAAAAACAAAACACACGCTCAAAATTCGACGAAACATGCACGACTGACGTCTCCATGCTTCGAACATGAAAGTCACCGCGAGCGGCCGTTCCCCGGCGAGCCGAGACGCAACGCCGGTTGCATCGCATCGCCCCGGCGCCAAATTAAATTCTTCGCGTCCCGATAAAACGCCCTCTCCTACGTGAGAGGTCAGAGGGAAAATTCTTCCCTTTTCCGGTTGTTTGCCGTCAAACTATGATGTGCACGAGTCGATCGGCGCGGCGCACAGTGGATCGAGCCGATAGGAGAAGTCGGACAATTTTCGAAAACTTTAAACGCCCATGACTCAATTTATACAAAACTTTGAGGGTTTTAAAGTGGTTCCAATGGTTTCCTCGTAAAATTTCATTCTACAGGCACCTCTTGAAATTTAAAATGTGACGAAATAAACTTTAAAATTTGCGGGAATTTCTTCCCTTTTCCGGTTATTTGCCGTCAAACTATGATGTGCACGAGTCGATCGGCGCGGCGCAAGGTGGATCGAGTCAATAGGAGAAGTCGGACAAAATTCGAAAACTTCAAACTCTCATAACTCAATTTATACACAACTTTGAGAATTTTAAAGTGGTTCCAATGGATTCCTCGTAAAATTTCCTTCCAGAGGCACCTCTTAAAATTTAAAACGTGACGAAATAAACGTTAAAATATACAGTTTAAGTCAAACATGTATTGCCCGACCTCTCTGATCGAGTCAATCAGAGAGGTCGGACATGAAATTGTTGATTAAAATTGCAAATTTTGATGTTTATTTCGTCGTATTTTACATTTCAAGGGGTGCCTCCAGAAGGAAATTTTACGAGGAAACCAATGGAACCACTTTAAAATCCTCAAAGTTTTGTACAAACGGAGTTATAGGCGTTTGAAGTTTTCGAATTTTGTCCGGCTTCTCCTATTGACTCGATCCACTGTGCGACGTTTCCGTGAGGCGGGAGCCCGACACGTATCGGTTTGCGATCCGCCGAGGAAAAAAGGAGCCGCGTTTCCAATTGAAAAGTTCCCTTACTCGTAGGTCTCTCCTCCATAGAGTTGATCATTTGGGCTTGTGATTTATCAAATTAGTGTGATTACGTGCACTGATTGGTCTGGGTTCGATTGCGAGAACGATCATTGGCTCTGGGGGCCGGAGTATGCTTTTCGGTTCAATGGAAGCTATTTATTGTTTTTCATTTTCGTGGGCTTGCCGGCCGATGAGTTACTTCTTGCAGCTGAGAGAGTGAAGGAGAAAATCTTCTGTGAATTATTTTTTCTGAATTTTATTTCCTTGGCTAGAAAAAACTAGGAAAATTTCTACTGAAAGTGTAAATGATGTTTTTTCTTTTTTCCTTCATTTTTCTGAAAAATGGTTGTCAAAAGGACTTATTAATGCTAAACGGAGAGATGTTGCGTGCACCTCCTAAGCACAAAGTTTCTATTAGCATAAATACGCCCACAAGAGAGGATTAATAATTTGGACAAATTTTTTTCTTATGTCTCGGTAAAAAAAAAACAATATGGTAACCTGATTACAGTGATATTTTGAATCAAAATAGCTCAACTTTTTACCTACATATACCAATAAAAACGTTCCTGCTGAGTGACAGGAAACTTGGTCGAATTAGTCTTGGAATTCTAAGGTAAGGATGTTTATTTAGCAGCCGCACTCCCTTACTTTTTCGAGTAGCCTTAAGGAATTTCAATGATAAATATACGGCATGGCGATTTGTACCTATATTTTAATGAGTGAAGAGGAAACATACAGACACCTTGGACATGCAGGCTTGGTAACGGAAACAGGCATGGTGACAATCTGAATGCCGCAGTATTTTCTCAAGCATCTTCGGGATGTGATGGAGGTCTTCGGTGATGGATGAAGAGAGAGGATAGATTATCGATACCGAGGATTTAAATGAATGCCGATAAAGAATGAAAGTAGTGGAGCAGGAGAGAGAAAAATAAACCAAAACCACTCTGGGTCACGGTGCGGTCGCGCGGTTATCCTGGCTCGAGGTGTTTTTTGACTCGCTTATTGTCTGGGATTCCGACGGGAATTCAATCGAGATCCAGGTAGAAACTGCGGGAATGCCTTCGACAATGTGACAATCCCTGAGGAACACACCCTCACCAGCATCGCATACGCCGTGGAAATCAAAGTATGCTACTAGTTCGATCCGAGTTGGGTCTCAGGTTTTTGCGAATGATATACGACAAAAACGAAACTTGAATATTCATTAAGATTTAGGATATAGGTTTATAGTACTCTGCAGCGAGAGGTGGTTTGCAACATCAAGGATTGGTGTTTCGGGAAGGAAAGAAGAGTGCAAAGTGATGGCACATGGTTTGAAAGAATGATAGCAAGAGGGGAAATTTGCATTCCAAAGATAACGCGTTTTATGAATCTTGGAGAGTAAATAAAATGGATTGCATTTTGCAAAAAGGAACCAAGAGCATTCCAATGTCGCTAAGATTGTGTAATTTTTTCCCCCTTGCAAACGTATACTGATCACCTAAACAAATTTTCTCTTCATTCCTAAAAAAACTATAAATTCAAGACGAAAATTAACATTGTAAATTTAATTTGTTGCATGATTTCAGTGATTTCACTGCAAAGAATGCAAGTCGCAAAATCCTAACAACATTGGAATGCTCTGGGTTCCTTTTTGCAAAATGTAATCCGAGTGATCGTGATTATACATTCTGTAAGACTCGTCTGGTCGTTTTAAGTTCGGCGTGGTTTGCTGCCAGGCGTAAGCAGCCGCATTTAATGCGATGAGCTTTTTTATCGCAAAAAATATGTCTGTAAATTTCATTAAGTAAATTTTAATTGAATAAATAACTGTTGCTGCACTTAGGAAATTGGGTCGGGGATACACCTATGTAGCGAAATTATATAAAGTGCGCGCCATCTTATGATTTCAGATCACGTCAGAGAATTCCGTAGAATTTTTCGTCATAGGGTTCGGCAACGAACACCTTAATAATCGATTCTTTGCCATTACTTCAAAGGGGGAAATATCGATAATCCATCATTTACGCCTCGACACTGAGAAGTACGTGGTTTTGCACTTGGGCTATCGAATTCACAAACAAAGCGGGGGAAGAATGATCGATTATCGCTATTTTCCCATTTAAAGGTATGGTAAATAATCGATTATCAAGGCGCTGCGAACACCCTGTTTATCGATTCTTTTCCATAGGTTTAAGTGGCAGATCAATCGATACATCGGAAATCAGGCCACGCCACTGTTCACAAACAAAGCGGGGTGTGGACCTACCTCTGAGCAGACGGTGGCAGCGTTGAGGCTTTGGGTTTTGGCGGTTTCGACCTCCTGGTCCAGCTCACTGAGCTTGGCCGAATTGATGGTCTGAACAGCTTTGAGATTTTCCAGGTCGGCGCGAAGACTCTGAACATCCCTCTGGAGGATCTCGATGTCGGTGGAGAGGGACTGACGCTTCTGATACTCGGCCGATGAGTTGAGCGAGGCGGCCAGCTCGGTGACCTCACCGCGGATCTCGGAGATGATACCTGCCAGCCATTGGATCGTCAGGTGATCGTTCTTCTCGCGGTTCCCTCCGCGGAGCAGATCCGACGGCTGGTAACCTCCGGCGTCGATCACATCTCGCCTGGTAGACAAACAGAAAACACAGAAATATTAAAATTTGTATTCATTAATTTACTTTTATTTAGTTCCGTCAATATCCAAGTTGTGAAATGAGACGTATCTTGAAGGCGTGACCTTCCACAGAAAAAAAAATCCGAGTGCCAAAAAACTCAAAATAGAGATGTTGGCACTCCTGATAACAAGACAATTTCCCAACAATTGTGGACGTGTATGGGATTAGCTATAAATCAAGTAATCTTTCATAAAAATTCGTTTTCTGGGCTGTTCTCAAACCGCAAAGTATGTTAATTTTTGAGTTTTGGGGTTAAAATTCTCATAACTTCGTCATGCCCAACATTTGCATAAAAATTAATCGACTCCTTCATAATTATGATTTTGCCACATTCTAAGATAAAAGCACACATGTAAAATTGTGTAATGCGACTTGATAAACGTAAAGCTCTCCTGGAAATTGTCCCTACATGTTTAGTGATATTAGAGCGTGAAGTTCATATTAAATCCTAAATATAACCATTCCAGCTCGATGGCTGTCAATGTTGCATATGTAAACATTTGAAGGCACTCTGCACTCTCAGCAACGTTGCCGTGCTAAGGAAAAACGCCTTCGTCGGTTGCCAAATTTCCATTAATTCGAATTTTCAAGAAAACTCGTAAATATTCTCCGTTCAATTTTTGGGAGGATTTTCTCCGTAATTAGATCTAAATTATTTGAAAATTTCGATTTGAAATATTCATGAATATCCTTGAGAATAAACATTTCATTGGAGGAAATTTGGTAGCTCTCGAATGTTCATACGGCGTTTTTTCCTAGCACGACAGAACGGGTGCGGCTCGCTCGAGTGGTTCGGTCAATGGACCTTCAAATCGTGAGGCTCAAATCAACGCCTGAATACAACTATTCCTGCTTGATAGCTGGCAATATTGCATACATGAAAATGTGAAGGCGCTCCAGCTTTTCCTGCACTCTCAGCGACCCGCCCCTCCACGTGGCGTGCCATTCCAAATCGCTGGCAAGATATCTGCTCCGATGAGTTCCGAGCATAAAAGCCAGGAGCAAGGGCCGCAGCCGCCTTTGCCCCCCCCCCCGCCCTGTCACGGTGCCGCCCGCGACGGGTCTTTTGCGGCCGCTACCCGAAAACCGCCCCTTTACGAGGCCAGTTTACCTTAATCGAATTCCGACTTGCAAAGTATTCAAACCGCGGCTGGGGTAAATGATGCGTGAAAATAAACGCCGAGCCTATAACATCATCCCACACGGCACACGGCGAGGAAGCACATATCATACTTGGGTCCGCTAGTGAGCTTGATAGAGGAAACTAGCGAGGAGCTTAGTTGAGAAAGTTTAGTGATATTGAACGGATATCAATTTTTTAAAGTTGTTTTCCGAACCGAAGAACGTAATTAGATTTCAAAATTGCAACATTTTTACTCGCAATTTGTACTGTCACGAGAAAAATGTTTGACATTCGGAAACGAGGAACTTTCTTTTAATTTCACGCACAAGTTAGAGAAATTTTGAGCAAATATTTCAGTCAAAATCTTGGAAGATACTGAGCCCTTTGGGTGAATTTTGGAATGAAGGGTTACGTTATTTTGTCTGAGAAGATGTGGATGGCAGACGATGAAAAAACAAATTTAATAAAAATTAAAAGCATGCACGGAATGAACAACTCCAGGCAGTAATTTTTGTCCCACCTCCAATACGATATGAATGACGACCTCAATAATACGGTGAAGCTTCAATGAAATATTTTATGTTTTAAAGATACCGTAAAATGTTGTTTGTATCCATGCACACAAACACGCATGTAATCCTCAGGAATAAATATGATTGCATCTCGAATGGCTGATGTAAAGCTCTCAAGCGATTTGCACAACAGCTTTCAGACTTTTGTGACACTGCAATATGTTTCTTTTTTCAGACGCAAATCGAAAACCATTCATCGGTGCCTGAATTAGCGCCGAGAGAAACTTGCGTTGCTGATTCAATAATTAATGATGATGTATTTCGAATAAACTGCATTGAAAAGGGTAATAAATATGATGCCTCGTGAGTGAAGTACAGTTTTAGAATCAAGTTTCACGTCAATCAGTCTGAAAGTTTGAAAGCGTAAAATCCGAGAAACCTCAAGTTTCGCGTCTCAAGTTCAATGTGCTCGTTTGAAAAGCGTGTCTATCTGTTCATAATGTTCGTAGCCTGGGCTGAAGCAAGAATTTGATGCTGACGTTGTGACATTTCATGGAAATCACACGATTCCTTAAGTAGACGTCGAAACTGTCTCTGAAATTGCATTCAGTTCTGTAGGAAGTTATAGGGTATTAGGGTAGTACCCCAATTAATCGTGGTAGTATTTTAATTAATAATGGTATTGCCCAACGAAATTAGGTTACTAACTCAAATATTGCGGTACTACCACAATTAATTAGAAATATCCATATCATCCAACAAATTTAGGTAGTGCCACAATTTCAAAGGATGACCCCTGACCCTTTTTTTTCATGAAGGAAGAGGAAAAAAGAACACTTTTTTGACACTTTTGTTCCGCGAAGGAAAGAGAAAAAAGGAAAGAAAGGGGGAAGAGAAGGAACTGGAAGTAAAACAGGTTTAAGAGCAGGAGAGAGAGGAAGGAGAGGAGATGGAAGTACCTCATACCACAGAGGAACAGAAAGAGGAAGAGAAAGGAGAGGAAAGAGGAGGAGAAAGAGGAGGAGAAAGAGGACGCGGAAAAAGAGGAGGAGCTAGGAGGAGAAAGAGGAGGAGAAAAAGGAAAATGAAAGGAGAAAAAAGAGCGGAAGAAGGAAGCAATAAGAAGAGAAAGAGGAGGAGAAAAAGAAGGAAAAAGAGAAGGAAGAGGAGAAGGAGGAGGACGAGAGGTTGCAGTCAAAGTCTGGAGGAAGAATAAGAAGAGGAGCCGTAGTCAAAATCGAAGAGCAGGAGGAAGAGGAAAATAAGAAATAGCGAAAGTTGAGAGGAAAGAGAGACAGGAAGGGGTGGAAGAGGATAATGAAAAAAGACGGATGAAGATGGTGAGTTTTTTTTCTGTATGAGTACCCCCCGTCCGTTACCACCGCAAACAAGGTCAATATTTAGTTCGGCGCGGCGGCGGGCAGACTGAAGCAATTGTGAGGAACGACGGCGGCGGCAGCATCGCGGCGTTGGACCTCCGACGAGATCTGCGCGGCTGCATACGCTCCAGCAACAAGCGGAAATGAGGGGAAAAACTTATGAAATGTACCGGAAATGAAAAGGAGCGCGAGGAAGCTGAGATGTATTCGAGGCATTCTTCTGAGCGCGACGCGACGGGGGCGCCGGCCGGCGGGGGCGGGGGAGGGGGACGAGGGTGGCAGGGCAGGGGACGGTCGGACGGCACAAAAGTTGCGGAAGTAAATAAGCCCTGATCAACGAATTAAGGCACATTAACTTGTTACGATGCAAAAGTTTGTCTTTGAAACTTGCCGCGTTTCGGGCTAATGTTGTCTTTTTAACTCCGGCTCGTCGCGATGGATACTTTCGAGCAATCCCGGAAAGACCGATTCAGCATCCATTTAACGGAGCAAATACTTTTCGTCCAACCTGACGAGCTTTGAGCTTCAACTTCAGGTGAATCTATGGCCGGGGCGAGCAAATAGAAATTAGACGTTTTTGCGATCGAATTCACGAAGGAACCGCGCGAACATTGGAAAAAAACACATTGGAAAACTCTTGAAAACATTGACAAGAAAAAATACTCTTGATTCAATCGGATTTTTGCTTGAATCAAAACGAAATCCGCTAAAATTAAGAGGCTTGGTTCTTGATTTAAGCTAGATTTTGATGGAATCAAGAGTACTTTTTCTTGTCGATGTTTTTAATCAATGTGGTTTTTTTTTCCCCGTAAATGCAATTTTCATACATGGTTAAGTATTTCACGTTCCCACAAAATCTTAGATAGATTCTGCGTTATTTAGTACACTGAGTACACTGCCGTGCTAAGGAAGAACGCCGTATGAGCTGTCTGACGCTGCCATATTTCCTTCAATAAAAATCGAATTTACTCGGAAAATTATGAATATTTTTCTTTAAACTTAGACAATTTTGAACGCAATTTAATTTAAAATAAATGAACATTTCAGCACGACTAAGATATGCACGACTTTCATAATCAAACACGTGTTTTATTTGGGGAAATTGAGCAACTCTCGAATGCTCATACGGCCCGGCGTTATTCCTTAGCAAGGCAGTTGACGTCCAGGGCCGGATTCACCTTCTTGCCGCCCCCTTCTTATTCGTTTCGAAACTCGATGAAAACCATCAAATGAACGTGCCAGCAGGGGACAGGTGCATAAGACACATTTACTTGTGTTTAACACATTTTTTGGGAAAGCCATGTCAACACTTCTAGCAAAAGTTCACGAAACTTTGCGCGAAAGTTAAGTTCCGTAAACCTATCTCTGTGTGGACAAGGTCTTCCATTCCTGAGAAATGAACGAAAAAATTATGAAAGAACAAACATAAATGTGGTTCAATGATTTTAACCTCCGCCGCCGCGCCGCGCAGATCGCACCGTGTTGGACGCAATGCGTGAAGTATTCACGCGGTCTTGTAGGCGCTATGCGTTTCACGCTGACCGCACTGTGTTTGGCGCAATGCGTGAAGTATTCATTCATTCTTGTAGGTGCTATCCGTTTCACGCTGTCCGCAATGACCGCATACTGTGTTTGATGCAATAATGCGTGAAGTATTCGTGCAGTCTTGTAGGCGCTAATATGTGTTACATGCCGATCGCCGCGCCGCGAGGGCTTCTCCTTTTCAACTCAAGTCCTTGTTATCATTTTTCTCTAAGTCGCGCCGTTCCAGACCAAATTGCGTGTTTGGTCTCTCTCTTAACTCGACTTATTGAAGGTGCTGTCTCTTGTATCACTAAGAGACGACAAAATTAGAAATTACTGTAATCTCAGGAAATGAGAGATTTTGTCGCCTTCTCTCGTTTGTAATTTTGTTTTTATAAATCAGATTTTTTT